AAATGAGGAAACTTACGCTTTTTGGAAAAGTAACAGTAAGTTAAAACATTAGCAATGCCACAGCTTTTGTTGGTGTTTGGTAACCTACACTGTCCCTTGAGATATAGGCGGATCTTTGTTTACAAAATTTTGCTAATTAGCATAAAGTTTAAATTAAAGAAAACTGTAAAATAAGTTTATAATGTAAAAGCTGGGGCTTATCAAGAACTATAAACTACGAAAGTGTGAGAGATCTTTTCAACACTCGAAGATAAAATCCGTATCCCCGCGCGCCCATGTAATATCCTCTATGTAATTTTGTAGTAAAAAATTGTTATTAAAAAAAATAAAAAAAGGTGGTTTAAAATCCATGCTAATAAGCAAAATCAGTCACTTTGCTGAGAGAATATAATTATTGAATGTTTTTTATTAAAATAAGTGTGTTTYCCTTTGTAATCTGTTTTACCAACGCCTCAAATTAGTAACTAACTTAGAATGTAAACAACATATTGTAAAAAAAGTAAAAAAAGGTTTTGTAAAACTTTGTTTCCTTAGCGCAAACCAAACCAAAACACGTTCACAGTGTGTATTTTGTTTGTRTTCAATGGTGTTGTCTCTGCTTGAATTCATCTTCAAACATTTGAAAAAAAGGGAATTTCCTTTTTTTTCCTTTAAAAAATCTCCTTGGACGGACTGATATCAATACCAGGGTGACATCGGCTGGAAATTTAGCAGTGACTACTTTGGACAAATATATGCGCGAGAAAATATATTTGGAATAAAATGATGAATATCATTTGAGGCCAGCTATAACATTTTGTGTCAGTTTGTATTACATTTTGCGTTATAAAAGTTATTACATTTTGTGTCAAATTGGTATTACATTTTGCGTTAAAAAGTGTATTACATTTTGTGTCAGTTCGTATTACATTTTGCGTTGGTATTACATTTTGTGCGAGTTATTACATTTTGTGGCGTAACAATATATCCTCTAACAAATTGGCCAAGAGTATAATTTCGAATTTGAGATTTGAAGGCTAATTACTGTAACACGTCAAATGAATGGATCTCGTTCTTAAATTTGATGCCTTCAATAGCRCTAATTATTTCATTGATGGATACTTGGATGAATTATCTTAATGAATCCTTCTATAACGCTCGCGACACAAACTGGAGACATCCCAGATAACATTAGATAAGAGGACTATTGCTAGAAGCAGCAACTTTCACACAGCAAGGCGTGTCTTTTAATCAATAGCYCAGGTTTGATGTTGGACTCGAACTATATTGCGCGTGCTAGCGCATCTCAAATCATTGAACAGCTTGTAATTAGCATTATATAACCTTTTGAGCGAATGTTGACCGCAATATGAATTGTAGATTAAAAAGAKCTTTAAAAATCTATAATTGCTAACATTGTTATCTGTCATTAGTGATAACGATTTCATGGAAYAGAGAGACTAGTTCGCCCGCCTGGTAATTTTAAACTATGGCAGAGGCAGAAAATGTCAAAATCAATATCAGCTTCCAAACTAATACATCCATMTCAAGAGAAGAAAACGTTGGCGAATACATTCTATTTCTAAAAACCACGGCCTACTGCCTTCTTCTGTTGGTTTCTGTTCTTGGTAACATCTTCATTATACGATCTGTCTGTAAGGATGAACGACTAAAGACGACCACTAACTTTTTGGTAGCAAATATGGCCGTCAGTGATCTGATGTCATCTTGTTTTCTTCTCCCATTAAGGATTTCACGCATGCATTTCGGTMTGGAATGGTTCATCGAAGGCAAATTTGGAAATGCCTTGTGTAAACTTGCAGTCTTTTGTCCTGATACTTCGATTGCAGTATCATTTTACAGYTGTCTTTTCATTGCCATCGATCGCTACTTCGCAGTCACCAATCCATTGAGAGGGGGCTTCCGCARGTCTCGACTTAAGTTCATGATCCCGGGAATTTGGATCTTTTCRGTTCTGATAGTCTCGCCTTATTTCTATTATTATCAACTCATACCACTTGACAATATAAATGTTTGTTTTTTTAAGCATAAGACTTTTATSAAAATCCATTTGTACGTACTCGTTGTTCTTAGTTTCGGCGTCCCACTGCCCATTATAACTACTTTGTACGCGTTGATCGTCYTTACGCTTCGTCGTCACAAGGCACCAGGAAACCAAAGAAATAGCGTAAGAAGAAGGAGACAGCAACARAACAGTAAAGTACTGAAGATGTCCATAACTATCGTAAGCCTTTTGTCCTTAAGCTGGAGCTACTTTATTACCATCGTAGTTTTGACATGGGAAGGYTTCAACATAGAATCTCATAACGTCAGAGAGATTGTATATTTTTCATCTTTCTTTATAGCTGATTTGACGTGTACGTACAACTTCTTCATCTATTTGATTTTTAACAATGTTTATAGGGAAAATTTCAAAGCTGTGATAGCTAAATGCTTCTGTAAAGATATTTTTGGTGGTGTGATGCGGGCTGACATTGCAGGAACGGACAATGTTGCATACAATGTCTATGGGGAAGAAAATCACATTCAAACCCTGAGAATGGAAACTTTAAGCACGAGCAATCTTTAAGATTTCTTAAGTGCTAAAAATGTAAGAATCCTCTGCGTTTATTTGATGTTTTAATACCAAGCTTTCGACCTAAGCGACCATTAACAATGTAGAAAGATTTTAAAATCTCGAAAAGCCTTCAAAGATTTCTACTCATTCAAATGGACTACTTTATTCTTGTCGTCATAACAACGACCTATCAGTGAGAACTTAATTATTGCTTTACAATTGATTATTGGCTGTATTTACTTTGTACAACACCTTTAGGTAAACACTCTTAATTGTATTGTACTGATAGGATGCCGAAAGCCTATAAGGTCGGTGATTTGAAATTGAGCGCTGTAGGTAGGGCAGTTGAGGACACACTTGAAAGTTTACACTTACTTACRCTCTTGTTACACTCTTAAAACTATAGGAATCAAGATCCTTGTTATTTGACCTATTAGTGTACTATTTGACTAAACCAAGCCTCGCGATAAATTGATTTACAATGTCAAACAGGGTATCAAACGGCGTCGGAGATGATTTATGTAAATTGAATTGAAGCCGTATTGAGTGCGAATTTTTAGCAATAAAATCATGACTAATATGGCAATACGTAATGTAAAAACTTTCAACTTTCTCCACTATTTTATCTAAACTTTTCAGTAAAGTTCTTTGAACGACTCTTACTAGACATATGCTGTTGGAGATCCTAGGGTTTTGAAAGAAATTCATGAAAGTAAATAAATTCATGAGAGCGATTTCCAGAACTGTCCCGAGTTTCCTCTTGYTATGAATATTTTTTTATAAAATAAWGAAGGTCAATTATGTTCAAAATTTAGCGTAATTRATGATGATGTTTTTGGTTTACTAGTTTTTATGAGGTTTCCAGTAATCGAATTGTCAATATTACTCGAAATCGAACAGATGAATTCAAGATTTCAAGATGGCAAGATTTTCAAAAAGCAAATTTAAAAGGAAAGGTAAAAAAAAAACTATAGGAAGCCACCTTAAAACAACTAGACGATGGATCGCTTACGTGGGCTGCCTGTAGCTGCGAMATTGGTCAGTTGCCGCCATTGAGCTACAAGTATTTCATTTTCACCTAAAATTGTATTGAAAATATTTATTTCCGGTAAAAAAAATGTCATGTTTTTCTAACCAATTATGAATTTGAAAATATAACAGACGCGTAAACATGTAAACGAGTCTGAAATGCTTATAGTAATAAATAAATGTTTAAAAAAATAAACTCAACAAGGTTCTAAATTAAGGAGTCCTTCTCAGTTTTTTCACATATATTTAAGAATTGATCAACGTCTTCTATCTCCAGAAGATAAAAAGTGTTCGATTGAGGCCATGTTGCTGTAAAGTAGTGAAAAAAGATCTGAGCTTTCGCCGTCTACCGCTTTATCAGTCTTCTCTCCACTTGGACAATTGTGTTTGAAAACAGGTGTAACTGCAATCTTTAGCAAATTGAACAGGCTTTTCAATCGTACGCATTCTTATTCTAAAATCCTCGAGACTCAAATGTAAATTTTTGGATAATTGTAAGATAAGTCATTAAGAGGACATTCAACGATAAAACGCGTGCAATTTGTTTTTTAGCACATATTTATTTGGATAAAAAACTGAGCGCGCGCACCAGCCGTAGTCATAGCATGTCATTTTTTTAACCCAGTTTTTTTTAGTCACTCAGCGCGCGAGAATTCTCACATGTGCCTCACAATGTACGATAGACAGATAGATAGATGGTTTATTATAAATTCGTCGCAACCGGGGGTTGAATTATGAACATATTTACATTAAAAATTAGGAAAAAGAACCGTATAAAAAGGGAAAATATTGTATATACCATACATATTATAAATAATAAGTAATATGCACAATTATATATAATAAAACTATTTAAAGAGAGATAATAAAATTTGTACGATTGACATGCTTATGTATACCGAGAAGGAGAATTTTTTAAAGTGCTACTTGCATGAAAATGGCCTTATTTCAAAACTTCAAGCAATACAAATATATGACTCATTKATATCTATTAAAAACARTTGCGGGAAAMTATTTGTTTTGGAATTATCCCACATCAGATAAATTTTGATTCAAAAGATGGAAGAACAAAAGGATGGAGTAAA